GTAGAGTGTTGATACAATTTTCTAATTAAAAATGATGTTAGACTTAATTCTCAAGTTAAGTTAAATGTATGTCATGCCCCTCACTTGGAATACTTCTCAACCTCTGTACTAAACTAGGTTCTATCTGTGATTCAAGTCTAACTGATGATTGCCTTATCCATTAATTTGTGTCCAGTTACTCCAGACCGCAACTATTTTGGCAGCTTCTATACTTTTATTTATCTCTGCCACTCATTTGTACACTTTCATCTCCAAATGCTATTTAGCAAATGTATGTACAAGTTGAATAATGCTTGTTGTGTTTTCTAGCTATGTAAATTCCTCAAGAGGCAAGAATAACTTACACCCAATTTTTTTAGAGAATTTTATCAGTGGAATTTAGTACAAGGCTGTACACATAAAAGGTATTATTTAAATAACTGCAAAACATTTTAAGTCAATATTTAACTAAAGTATCAAAAAACTTCTGTCCTAAAACCACAAAAATAACACATGTATATATTTCATCATATTTCTCAAAGAACTTTATAACCTAAAAGAGAAGATAGGTATTATTCACTGTAGTTCACAGAGGAGTTGTATCCCACTTATATATGAGGAATCTGGCATTAGGGGAACAAAGTGTTTTTTGCACTGGGGATTGAGCCAAGGGGTGCTTAACCACTGAACCATATCCTCATCCCTTTTAATTTTTTACTTTTTTTAAAAAATTTTGAGACAGGGTCTCACTAAGTTGCTTAGGGCCTTGCTAAGTTGCTGAGGCTAGCTTTGAACTTCTGATTCTACTGCCTTAGCCTTCCGAGCTGCCTGGCAGAATAAAGTATTTTTGAAGTACAGGTTATTCTTTTTTTCCCCTGATAACCAGGGATTGAACCCAGGGGCACTTAACCACTGAACCACATCTCCAACCCTTTTTTGTTTTATTTTGAGACAGAGTCTTGCTCAGAACCTGCGTGAGCCCCTGGGATTACAAGTGCGTACCACCATGCCTGGTAAGTGCAGGTTATTCTTGTATGGTGCACAAGTGTCTACAACACTGACCAAATCATAAAATGAAGTAGAGCGTTGATACAATTTTCTAAAAGTGTAATCAAACCACATTTTATTATTTCTTTTCAGAACTAGTCAATCATATTTATTATTGAATATCATTAAAATTAAATATTTCTGCCAAGCACAGTGAAGCATGCCTGTAATCCCAGTAACTCTGGAGGCTGAGGCAGGAGGATCACAAGTTCAAGGCCAGCCTCAACAATTTAGTGAGTTCCTAAGCAACTTAGTGAGACCCTGTCTCAAAGTAAAAACTAAAATAAAGACTGGAGATGTAGCCAAGTGGTAAAGGTTTTAATTCCCAATAACAACAATAAATAAATAAATAGAAGTTTTTAAAACATTATTTCTATCTCTAATGGCAGCATTTTCTTAAATAAGGTATATACAATTTAACAAGTATCTACTGATGGCCTACTGGGAACACAATAATAGAAATCCAAACTGCTTCACAGTTTGGGAAAACAGCTTTGGAGTGGGTGATGAGTATTACAAAAAGTTACAACACAGGGTAGGAATGTACCTCTGTCCTAGAGTGTTGACCTAGCATGCATGAGGCCCTGAATTTAATTCTCAGTACATACAAAACAAAAAAAACCCCTACACCCCAGAGTGTTATATAAACTTTTTTATAGAGGAAATTAATGAAAGAATGAACTTAGAGGCTTCATGGAAAGTTTTTCTAAGAAAGAAAAATAGAGATGATTTCTTTTTCTTAGATGCATAGTCCAAAATTAATCAGACCAACTGAACTAAGCTGGAAGTAAAAGAATAATTGAAAACGATACCATGTTCTGAAACAAAGATAGAATGCAGACATAGACACATATATATTTTTTCAGTGCTAGAGATTGAGCTCAGAGCCTTACACATGCTAGATAAATGCTTTACCTCCTAAGTTAAATTCCCAGCTCCAATATACGTATGTTTTTATATACTCTCTTTTGGCAGGTAAAGGGAAAGAAGCACAAGTAAAGCATTTGGTAGAAAAAGAAAATCATCATCTTCCTTTCCTTTAAGGATGGTTTACATTCAGAGGAGATCATTTATAGACAATAAATATGAGAAAAGTATAATGAGAAAAGTAAGGAAATTATAATAAGCCATAGCTAGGCACTTCTACTGAATTTGGCAAATAAGATGATTCTTCTGCTAGGGAACCAATGAAATGTATTCAAATCCTCAATGTACTCAAATGTTTAATACATATACTGCACAATGCGCAAAGAGGACAACTTTGAACAAACAAGTTATCTTTCTTTTTGTCTTTTTATTTTCTTTTCTCTTTTTTTTTTAAATCCTTTTTCTTTATTTATTACTGGGGGTTGAACTCAGGGCCACTCTACCACTGAACTACATTCATCCTAGCCTTTTTTATGTTTTATTTTGAAACAGGGTGTCAACTTAAAAATATTCCTGAATATTTTAATTCAGGAAGCATAAGGTAGAAGCATGAGGGAGTAAATTCCCCAAAATTCAGGTTTGATGAGAGAATTTACATATAAAAACAAAATAGTAGGGCTGTAATTCAGTGGTAAAGCACTTGCCTAGCATGTGCCAGGCCCTGGGTTTGATCCTTAACATTACACACACACACACACACACACACAGTGGTAAATAAAAGAATACAAATATCACCACTGATCCTTAGTGAATACGGATGACTAGGTAGTCCCTAAGTATAGAGTTGGGTCCATGGAAAGATATGGAATGACAGTGCCTTACTATGAAATATCTTACCTTTAAGGGCTCATAAGCAGCAAATGTGGCACTGCTCTCCAAATACTCTTCATATTCAGTCACACTCACTATTACCAGAGTATGGCCTAAAGATTTGGCTGCTATATGTGTACTAGAACAATGCATTGGTCCAGGTCTTTGAATACCTTTGAATCAAAAAATAATTATTTCAGTAGGGTAATAATTAGTCTGTTCTCCAGGATATTAAGCTACAGAAATATAAGAATTCTAACACATTAAAAATACCGGGCTGGGGGGGTGCTGGGGTTGTGGCTCAGTGGTAGAGCACTCGCCTAGCACGTGTGAGGCCCTAGGTTCGATCCTCAGCACCACATAAAAATAAATAAATAACATAAAGGTATTGTGTCCAACTACAACTAATAAATAATTTTTTTTAAAAAAAGGGCTGGGGTTGTGGCTCAGTGGTAGAACACTCGCCTCGCATCTCTTATCCTACATAAGAGATAATTCATTATCTGAAGGTTAGAGGAAGCCCTGCGAACAGAGGAGAAAGATGTGATTAGTACTACATACCAATAAGGAAAAAAAAAAGTCTAGGCTGATGCCACTCTTTTTTTTTTTTTTTTTTTTTTTTTACCTTTACAGTTCAATTTACTATATAGAAATCATTTGGGTTTTATATTTTCAGTTAAATTTTGAACTGAGATTACAATAGTATATAAAAAGATTTTACATTAATTCAGTTGTTAGCATACCAAATTGAAATACATAGGTTCAAACTTCAGATTTATGGTAAACAGTCTTCAAATACAATACAGACATTTCTTAAGTTTCATTCACATACATCATTCACATGTGATACCTGCAACTCTGAACTGTTGCTCTCCTATAGGATGGCAAAATTGACATGCCATGAAGCTCAAGCCTGTAAAGTTAAGCCAAATGACTCAAAACTTGTACCATATCTTTTAAAGGATTTGGCATTTCTGGACCACAATAACCAACAATATATGAAGAAGGTAGAGTGTTATTTATTCTCATTTCAGTTAATAAGAAAAAAAGATTGCATGGTAAATTGGAATTTTGCATAAAACCCCATTATACCTTGGTAAAGTCCAAGGGCAATTAGAGGACAATGGACTGGGGTCCTAAATTTTTTAGTAGAACCCATGAAATTCAAAAATGGGCATTAATTAAATCAAAAACATTAAGCACCTACTGGTTTGAGATTGAAATTAGAGATTCATGATCGATTTCTTTCCACCTTGAAATCAAGGTGTAAAAACCAGCTATTAAGTGCATTCCAAACTTCTCCTATGTAGCACAGGTAGAATTTTCTGTCCATTGGCACCAAAGTGAAGTCACATTTCCTCTTGGGGGACAGAAATTCCACATCTGAACATAGAGTAAGTTAGGAAAAAATGACCCCTGTTGTTTGTTTTATTACTATTGTGATTCTGAGATCTAGGATTACTAATACACTAGCAGTGAACAAAGCAAATTCCTGACAACTGTCAGGTTAGTGCTGCTAAGTCCCTTCCCCAACCACCATAAAATTTTAGTATGAAAGATTTTAAAGGAATTACTAAGCTGAACAAATAGAAAAACAACAAGAAACTAAGGGAATAGTTCAAACCAATAACAAAAAGAGAATCCTAAAATTTGAAATCACTGCAATTAAAAAATTGAAGAAAAAAGAAAAAATTAAGTGTGCTTCACCCCAGACCCCCTCCCCATTCTGAATTTAAATATTCTGTGCAAAAGAGCATCAGATTTCTGGTTATAGATGTAGCCCTTCTTTAAGTTTTAGTGCTCTGCAGTTTTCTGCAATTTTATCTCCCTCCCCCCCAACCAAGTTTATTCAAAGTATTTAATAGAATCTTCCATGTCAGCCGAAAGATTTGTGATTCAAAGATTTACTAAGGTACTCTATGCATTCTACCTATACAGAAACACCTACTAATTGTTACAATTGGTTTATGCAGGATTAACGGTTTTTGGTGTTAAAATGGTTAAACATCATGCTTAATGCACATCAACTCTCCATTAATGAATCTGAACTTCACAATGATTTACCACACTTTAAATTACTAATTAAATAACTGAAAAAAAACAAAATGGACTAAGCCAAACTAAACTTAAATGGGCTATAAAGAAAAATAACCCTCAAAACAGACCATATACACATCTATTTCAAAACTACCTTTCCTATCTAGTCCCTTTCCCAAAGTTTTAGCCTGAAAAAACAGTAAAATCTACACAAAATTTTATTGCAATCATACAAGGGTTACATTAGGTCAAATACAACAAATACTATGATGCAATTTTACATTTATTAAACTACAGTTCAAAGCACAAATTTACACATTCTAAATACACTAAACGTATCTAATGAAGTCACGTTTGCCTTCCACTGACATCTGATATATCTGGGTGAAAGACATTAACTTTACAAGACTTTTTAACACGAATCCTTAGTATAAAAACTGTGTACTTGTATGTAAACGGTTTAATGGGGAACCCAATTAGTGGGCTTCCATCTCCACTAAGTCATCCATTTTGTTGCATATTTTATTTTAAACACTTAAGGGGCTGTTCAAACTGGTAAGTTTAAATCTGGATACATTATCTAAATCTCCCATTACCCCCAAAATGAATTATAAATGAAAGCTGATTTCGTCTGGTCCCAAATAGCTATTACTATTAATTTTTGTTTCCAAGAGAATTAACAGAATAAGATTGTTTAATTTTTTTTCACCGGAATGTAGACCAGACAAGCTTAACCTGCTAACTTCAGATCTAAAGAAGCGTGAATGCCTGTTTAAGCTTCAGTGGAAAAGCTGTCTTCTTGGCTCAGCTGAATGCAAGAAGGCACAAAGAAGAAGTTCTTCATCATTGTGTCTGAAGTAATTCCAGCATCTTGCATTTCATACCAATCACTGAATGACATCATGTAATAAATAGCTGGCCTCTGAAAATCATTAAAAGCAGATGGTTCATGGAAAGAATCTGCTCCCATGTTATCAAAGATAAGCCAATCACCCACATTCAGCTCAGGAAGTAGACAGTTTTCCACAATCTGATCAAGCTCATCACAGGATGGACCCCAAAGGCTGCTTGTAAAGAGAGGCTCATCTTCCTTGTATTTCTTGTGAACCTCTGGAATGGTATTTAAGTCCTCAGATAGTTTACTTGCAAAAGAACCATAAACACCATCATTCATATAATACATAAAAGCTGGTTCATCACTCCCGGTTTTTCCTACTCCAGAGGAAAATTTATCATTTTCGACAACTTTCTTTGCAATGATATTAACTGCAAGTGTAAATGCAGAAGACACATAGTAGCTTCCAGGTTCTGAAATTATCTTAATGCCAGAGCCTTCAGGAAAGTAGATATCCAACAGAGGGCTGATAACATGATTAACCTCTTCCAATTGAAATTCAGTTCCTGTAGAGCCTCCACCAATGTCTAACATGTTCATTGTAAAACCAAATTCTCCAGCCATGTCAAATACACATCGAGCATCAGATAGAGCATGTACGTATACTTGAGATTCTTTGCAAGCACTTGAAACATGAAATTTGACCCCAATTATTTGGACATCAAGTTCCTTAGCACATTCCAAGAGATGCCTACAGTTCTTCAGTGTAGTGCCAAACTTCATGCTACCCTCTTCACCTCCAATAGTATCTTCTGTTGCAATATGTAGTAAGACCTTGGCATTTGGATGGTTACGTGCGATTTTCTTCAATTCAATCTCACTGTCACATGTCGTGATATTTACTCCAATTTTTGCTGCATACTTTATCTGAGAAACTTGCTTGCAAGGACTTATGTAAATGATATTTTCTGGAGATACACCCAATTCCTGCAGTAAAGCCATTTCATTTTTACTGGAACAAGCAAATCCAATTCCAAGAGCTGCCAAAATCTCAAGTACAGCTGGAGTAGAGTTGCACTTCACTGTGTAAAATGGCTTTATCTGAGCCACTACATTCTGCCATTGACTATGTTTCTTCACAATCTTTCCAAGATCCCCCACGAAAAATGCATTTTTCCCTGTAAGAGTATGTTCATAAACATAGTTATCAATAACATTTCCAAGGTTTGTTCCTTCATCCAACAGGCCAACAGAGTAGTTTGCATCGTCAATAAATCCTTTCATCTCAGCCGTATTCCACAAAGCCGAAAGTCATAAACCAGGAAAAACAAGAGACGGGCCACCAAGCCTATGTCTGGGTCCTTAGAATATGCAACAAACTGCTACAAAGGCTTCTACAGTTGATTGTACTTCAGAAGAAACTGATACATCTTTCAAATAATCACAAGATAATTCTGGCAGCAACAGCCCACTTGACACCAAGCTGGATGAATATGAGTCTTGGATTTCTGAAGTGAAGACCTCCATGGACAAGTTAGGAGATGGAACCCCCCTATCATCAGCTAGGTTCCCAAGGTGGCTCGGCGTTAAAGTCAAACTGCTCTCTATACAGCACTTCTCCTAGGCCTTCTGGGTAGTTGTATACTTGGTCAGAAAGTTCGCCGTGAGATAACGGCCCAAAGAGTCGGGTAAAGCGTCTTCTCTTTTTCGGCGGAATTTTTAAAGAGGGATGTGGTTACCTTGAGCAGAAATACCCAAGGCGGCCTGGGCCATAGGCTGCGGGGACGACGTGGGGAGAAAAGCGCGGCACCGACACCAGCTGAGCAGCAGTGGCAGCGGCGGCCAGAGAGAAATGGAGCAGCGCGGGTAAAAGGAGAAAGTCGCGGGCTGGGTGGGGAGAGGATTTGGCCTCGTCACACCGCAGAGCAGCAGAAGGAGAAAGGAAAAGAAGAGGCAGAGAAGGCGACAACAGGGTGAAAAGGAAACGCTTCAGCCGCGAGGAGAGCCAAAGAGTTGATGCCACTCTTATAGATGTACTGTGAGAATTAAATACATGAGTTAATACATCGAATCCCTGAGCTCAATCCTCAGCACCACATAAAAATAAATAAGTGAAATAAGGGTATTGTGTCAACTACAACTAAAATACAAATATTAAAAAAAAATACTGGGCTGGGGCTGGGGCTCAGTGGGACTGGGGTTGTGACTCAGTGGTAGAGCACTTGCCTAGCATGTGTGAGGAATTGGGTTCAATTCTCAGCACCATGTATAAATAAATGAACAAAATAAAGATCCATAAACAACTAAAAAACATTAAAAAAAAAATACCATCTTGGGCTAGGGTGTAGCTCAATGGTACTGTGCTTGCCTCACATGCACAAGGCCCTGAGTTCAATCTCCAGCAACACACACACACACACACACACACACACAACAAACAGGTACAATGACATGCACTTGTAATTCCAGCTAACTGGGGAGGCTGAGGTGAAAGGATCACTTGCATCCAGTTCAAGCTCAGCCTAAGCAATATAGCAAGACCCTGTCTCAAAAAAAAAAAAAAATTACCTTTTTTTTTCTTTTCTGGGACTGGGGATTAAAACCAGGACCCCTGCACTTGTTATACGAGCACTCTACCACTTAGCAACATTGCCAGCCAAATAATCAAGTTGATATAAAAATCTATTTCTTCTATTAACAGACATATATTATGTAAGACAAAATTCAATCTACAGTGAGGATACACAGGTGAGCAAAGATCCTTACCTCCTGACCTTAAGTATTACCAGAAAGTGTTAAATATGATACAGATTTAGAAGCCAGGAAGGTGGTAAAAAAGATTTATTCATTTATTTTTAAATATTTATTTTTTAGTCAGGGGTGGACCCAATATCTTTATTTTATTTTTATGTGGTACTGAGGATCTAACCCAGTTCCTCACACATGCTAGGTGAGTGGACTACCTCTGACGCACAACCCCAGCCCTAAAAAAAAAGACTTAAATAAAGTATTTCAAGTTGAGAAATAGCTTGAACAAAGAAATATAAATGAGACGTGAATGAGTATGAGGGAGATATAAGAGAAAATTTAACCAAAGTAGTTGATTTAGCTAGACCATTTGTACTGTCATGTTATACTGTAGAGGGCTATGAAGACTAAACTAAAAGGATTTCTGCTTTATTCTATTGGCAAAGATAATCCTCTAAAATTTTTTGAACAGAAAAAGTAATATTGAAGTTGAGCTGCACAAAGATTGATCTGGTAGCCATGATTACCCGTTGAAGGATATTGGAGTATCCTACATAAAAGATAACTTATTATCTGAAAGTTAGAGGAGGCACTGCAAACAGAGGAGAGAAATACCATATAAGGAATACATACCAATAAGGAAAAAGAAGTCCAAGCTGATACCACTCTTATAGATGTACTGTGAGAATTAAATGAGTTAATACATGAAAGTATTCAGAACAGAGCCTGGCAAATAGTAGATGCTAAGAAATGTTAGATGTTACTGCTATCATATTGATTAAAGAAACAATGGGGATGAGGATCAACTATGATTCTCAATAACAAGAGAGAATACTGACCTTTATGAATAGATTGTTCGTATTTTCCTTTTTATTACAAAGATTTTTTTCCTTTTTTGAATAAACTTAAAAAATATAGACATTAAATGGCACTATATTTCTCTTACAAATAAACATGGTATATATATTAAAGAAATAAGAAAAGAGCTTGACACTAGATAGAGAATACCTTATTAGAAGCTGAAAACTGGCAGCCATTATGAAGTCAAACAACAACAAGTGCTGGCGAGGATGTGGGGAAAAGGGTACACTTGTACATTGCTGGTGGGACTGCAAATTGGTGCAGCCAATTTGGAAAGCAGTGTGGAGATTTCTTGGAAAGCTGGGAATGGAACCACCATTTGACCCAGCTATTCCCCTTCTCGGTCTATTCCCTAAAGACCTAAAAAGAGCATGCTACAGGGACACTGCTACATCGATGTTCATAGCAGCACAATTCACAATAGCAAGACTGTGGAACCAACCTAGATGCCCTTCAATAGACGAATAGATAAAAAAAATGTGGCATTTATACACAATGGAGTATTACTCTGCATTAAAAAATGACAAAATCATAGAATTTGCAGGGAAATGGATGGCATTAGAGCAGATTATGCTAAGTGAAGCTAGCCAATCCCTAAAAAACAAATGCCAAATGTCTTCTTTGATATAAGGAGAGTAACTAAGAACAGAGTAGGGACGAAGAGCATGAGAAGAAGATTAACATTAAACAGGGATGAGAGGTGGGAGGGAAAGGGAGAGTGAAGGGAAATTGCATGGAAATGGAAGGAGACCCTCATGGTTATACAAAATTACATACAAGAGGAAGTGAGGGGAAAGGGAAAAATAATACAAGGGGGAGAAATGAATGACAGTAGAGGGGGTAGAGAGAGAAGAGGGGAGGGGAGGGGAGGGGGGATAGTAGAGGATAGGAAAGGCAGCAGAATACAACAGACACTAGTATGGCAATATGTAAATCAATGGATGTGTAACTGATGTGATTCTGCAATCTGTATACGGGGTAAAAATGGGAGTTCATAACCCACTTGAATCAAAGTGTGAAATATGATATATCAAGAACTATGTAATGTTTTGAACAACCAATAATAAAAATTTTAAAAAAAGAAGCTGAAAACTGATATTGTCCAGCCACTATGTTATTAAGTTTCTGTATCTTTGTTTCTACATCTATATGTAGATCAATATCTACTTCAAGGCAATTGATAAAACAATTAAAAATATTATAAGAATTATAAACTGGGTGCGGTAGTGCACACCTGTAATCCCAGCAGCTCAGAAGGCTGGGGCAGGAGGATCTGAGTTTAAAGCCAGCCTCATCAATTTAGTGAGGCCCTAAGCAACTTAGAGAGATCCTGTCTCTAAATAAATAAAATATAAAAAGGACTGGGGATGTGGCTCACTGGTTAAGCACTCTGGAATTAAAAAAAAAATGGAATTGTATGAATTTAAACTCTAGTAGTTTCTAAATTGATGCCTGCTACCCTCAATTCTAGGATATAGGAAGGAGAAATTTAAAAGGACTACTCTTACCTTCTTTGAGAAGAGTGAAGACTCCTTGCTTATCCATGTTTAAATCCAAGGATAAATGAGAGCAATCTGTGAATGCCATGATCTCTTTGGTCTCCTTATTTACATGATACATTGCAATGGGGATTTCTATAATCTGGCCAATCTCCACATCAGCATGAAATGGTAACAGTTCCATTTTGTTCAGTTTTAGGACATATATCTGAAGGAAAAACAATTTAAATTTTAGGAAATTCTTAGAAAAAAAAGGAATCATTCCTTAAATATTTAAATATACACATAAACTAGGAGTGACGGAGCATACAACTGTAACACCAGCAACTTAGGAAGCTGAGACAGGAGGATCACAAGTTTGAGATCAGCCTCAGCAACTTAGCAAGACCCTAAGCAAATTAGTAAGAACCTATTTCAAAATAAAAAAATTAAAAGGTCTGGGGATATTGCTCAATGGTTATATATCTCCAGGCACCAAAAATTTAAAAATAAAATAAATGCACACACATATGAACATGTGGTGTGTGTATGTATATATATGTATATATATATGTATATGCATATGTACATATATATATATATATATATATATATATATATATATATATATAAACATATATATATCATAACAATTCTTTTTTTTTTCTTTTGATGCTGGGGATTGAACCCAGGGCCTTGTGCATGCCTGGCAGACCCCCTACCACTAAGCCACATCCCCAGTCCCCAGCATAATAACTTACTATATAGCATTGACATTTTATTATGTATAAGTAATCTAGAGATGATTTAAAACACACAGGAGGATGTGCATATATATGCATATTATATGCAAATACAATGCCATTTTATACAAAAGACTTGAGCATCCTCAGATAATGGTGTCTGAGGGGTCCAAGAACCAATCCCCTGTAGACACTGAGGAATGACTGCATGCTATTTTACATACACACATAAATATACACACTAGGTGCTAAACATATCTCTCTTCATCCCTCAATCAATGAATGTCTTCAAAACATTTAACACTATACAGCAGGGGCCTGGCAAATTTGGCCAGAACACAACCTGCTTTTGTACACAACCTGCTTTTGTATAGTACGCTAAAAAATAGTTTTAAAGATTTGTAAACAACAACAACAAAGTCAAGCTCAGTGGCACGTGCAGGTAATCCCACCAGTTTGGGAGGCTGAGACAGGAGAATCACGAGTTCAAAGCTAGCCCTAAGCAATTTAGAGAAGCGCTGTCTCTAAATAAAATATAAAAAAGGGCTGGGGATGTGGCTCAGTAGTTAAATGCCCCTAGGTTCAATCCCTGGTACACCACCACCAACAACAACAACAACGAAGAATATGAGACAGAAAGTGTATGTAGGCTTCAAAGACTAATGTATCTAGTGCTTTTACAGAAAAAGATTGCTAACTTCTGACTTAAAGCACGGCCTCTTCCTTTCTTTTCTGTAGGGGGTGGTGGTACTGGAAATGAACCCAGGGCCTTGCCTATCCCAAGTCTGCCACTGAGCTCTACCCCAGCTTCATCCTCTTTCTTGATATTATTATTTATTGGTACCAGGGATTGAATCCAGGTGCTCTTTATCACTGAGCCACATCCCCAACCCTTTTTATATTTTGAGACAGAGTCTTACTAAATTGCTTAGGGCCTTGCTAATTGCTAAAGCTGATTTTGAACTTGAGATTTTTCTGCCTCAGACTCCTAAACCACTGGGATTACAGGTATATGCCACCACCTGCCTGGTTTATTGTTTGAGACAGGATCTTGCTAAATTGCTTAGGACTTTGCTAAATTGTTGAGGCTGGTTTTAAACCTGCGATCCTTCTGCCTCAGCATCCATAGCCGCTGGGATTATAGGCGTGTACCACCATGCTCTGCTCTTGCTATCTTTTTTATTTGGTAGCGGGGATTGA